TCTCCAACTTTCTTGTATCTCTGTGAAACTGCGTAGATGTCAACCAGGCCATCATTTGAACCTACAGCAAGGTAAGATCCATCTGGAGAATATTTCATTTCATGAATTACCTCCTTTCGGTCTTTAATATGGACCACCTCTGTCATATCTCTATGAACATAATAAAAAGAAGCAGAGTTTACCCACTTGATAGACACAGTAGCATTGGTGTGCTGAAATAAAAGTCCTCAAATATTTTATCCATCCTACAGGACTGGATATTAGTCAAAATGGCATTATAAATCTCTTGAAGAAAGAAAGGCAGCACTGGTTTTTGCTTCTGAATATGATGAAGGAAAACTGCTGCTGTTTTGCAATCTTTAAAGTATTCAAAACATAAAGTAATAGAATTTTATTTACCATTTAATTGAGGCAGCGAGAATTTGAGCACACAAAGTACAACATTAAGCTTTCAGAAAAGATTCAGGAAATTTGGACTTGGGGTAAAGACCCATATTGAGCAGTTCTGGAAGGTTCTTAACTGAAGCTGGATGTATAAAGCAATTGCTCTTCAGAAAAAGGAAGATTTTTTTAACAATTCTAAATCAGTTTACATCCGTGTAAGGAGTTTCCCTTGAAGGTTACAGACCAGAAGTGTTTGGTTAAAACGCTGCAGGATTTAGTCAAAGCTTAAAAAATTTAACCTTGGTTACATGATGAATCAAGGAAAAAGATCAGATTCTCTTGATTGTGAATTTAACCACAGCTAAGTCGAATCCTATGTGGGATGAGAAGGGAATTCTCTCTGACGTTTCAAGATGTTTCAGTACTGTAATGGGATGCTGCTGGGATTAATGGGGCAATATTTTTACTTTCGAAATATGGTTTTGTTTATACCATTTTAACTACATTTCTTGCATGTAATTAACTATTCTGTGGTTAAATTCTAATCTGAAGTATTGAGTGTGTTCTTCAGTAAAAGTCCACCTTGTTAAAACTAAAATGTGTACTATCAAGCCAGTTCTTAGTCTGAGATCTCACTTGTCCAGCAACATCAGTTGGGTATCAAAACACCTAAATCTAGATATCAGAAAATTCCTGTAATACTTTTTCATTAAAACTTTTATCCACATTTTTAATGAGAACCATCTGTAGAAACTTGTCAGACTGCAATTATACCTTCCTGACAAACATTGTGTTGCAGCACTTTGGGTCCCCTGGACATCTTGCCCTACTTTATTCTTCATGCCTTATAGGGTCAACGAACCTTGTACCTCTCCTGATACTTTAGATATCCTCTGTGCTCTGTCTTATTATCTTCCTCATCCTGTTTATGTTCTCATTCTGCACCATCACCAATGCGGTCCTTCATTTATTTTTCCTTTTTGTTCAATCCACTGCTCAACCACTGTTGTTCTGCCTAGTTGGCTCAAATACACATCTGCCCCATCTTTGATAGTCTTTTAGTTCATGTACAAGTTGAAACATTCTATTGTTTGATTTTCTGAGTGTATAAGCAAATTGTTTCTCTCTATATTATAGTATTTCGGCTTGTGTTGCTTGAAATTATTTGAATGTAGGGCAGATGAATTGGAATAGTTTTTTAATTCAACATTTAAACAGGTTATTCATGTTTAACTTAAGTATATCAAGTGGAAGAAAAAATGCATAAAGTATATTTCATTTCTAACATTGTTTTGAAATAAAGACTGAATTTTCAAAGCCAAGGAAAATAAATAGGGTTGAACTTTACCAAAAAAAACTTTGAGGAATTTCATGGAAGGTTTCTCTTCATGAACGCTTGCATTCTCATGAAATATGCTGCTGCTCACTTTATTATGTATCCACTATGCCTCTTATAGCACTGCACTCGTGCTATCTTGTATTCACTAATGGCAGAAGTACTAACCGTTGAGGGGTTCTTCTAGGATTTCTGCCATCATATTTACAGCTTACCTGTCAATTGCTGCTAGCCATGAATAACCTCTCACAGTACATGTAATGGGAGGGATGAAAAAGAAAGGCTTCTGAAAGCATTTAATTAGCACAAGTGATATTTCATTAGAAATAAAATATTATTTGTAAGTGCATTGCTACTTTACATCATCTATCAGCCACTGCAGTTTGAAGAATGAAACTATGCCTACATGTAGTACCATACCATTTTACAATCTTATCTAAGGGAGTGCTACTCTTTCCCCAGTGCCCAGCCTAAAACCTTGTCATTATTCAATGTGAAAGTTATCCCATGTTGGAAAGTCTTCAAATGGAGGTAAAATGTCGAAATTTATCGAACAGCATGAAAAACAAAAAAACAAGCAGTCCCTTCAAATAGCAACAAATTTACAGTCAAGGAATGATCACTTCACCCAGTTCAGATCCATTGGATGTAATGTTAACTAAGTCCCATCTTTCTTGTCATGTCCAATGCTACAACATTCTATCACGACGAAGGTGGTGATATCCCTCCTGTTCAATGACCCCGCCTTCCTTCTCGGGAGACTGCTACCACTCTCCCAGCTCTCCGGCGTCCATCACATCCACTCTTTGCCTGCTCCAACTGTGCACAGCAAGACTCCCTCAGACTGATCCAAGAATCAGAACGTCATTTTCAGGAAACCCATCATCTGCTCCACCATGATCCTAGCAGAAGAATGAGCTGCAATGAATCTATACTTAGATAGTGTAGCCACGTTTGCAGAGGGTAGCCCTGGTCTCCCAGTATCCATCCTGATAAGGCATCCAAAACAACAGGTTACACTGAGATGCTAATGTTGCTCACTAGTGAGATTTTTGTTATGTTGTTCAAAATTTGGCCACAAAATCAGATTTTTTCTTGACCTCGAGGATCACATTTTTCTAATGTCTCCATTTTTTCCCAAACTGACTCATTGTTTTACATGTTTTCAGAGGCTGGAAGAATTCTGTCTATAGCTCTGATTCCAGAAAGCAGTGTTTTACCAATAAAAACATCCTAATTTATGATACATGAGTGAAAGAATAGTCAGTTAAAATGAAATTCATGCATCGATCTCTTAAAAACTTACAAACCACGGCTGACAGTCTCATATCCTTCAATATTGTTAAGCCTAGACCTATCTTCAATTACTCAAAGATTTTTAGGACTCTAAATGCCAAAATTCAGGTTCCTCTGTCAATGTTCTATTATTATTAACATATTGTCCAGGTCAGTGATATCAGGGAAAGTTTTCTCATATAGAAAATGTTTTGAGGTTATGATTGTCATTCAATTACAATTGGCATTTATAAGTAATTAGTTATAAATGTATTAATTAAAACCTCAAAAATATTAAAAGACTGTAAATTACATAATACTGATGCTAGTAAATCTGAATGGAGTAGATTGGACTTAGAATTGAAACATAAATCATGCAATGGGGAAGGAAATGTAGGTAAACACAATAACTATCACTAAAGAAAAAGTACTAGGGGAATTAATGGGGCTTAAAGCCAACAGGTATCGGGACCTAATAGGTAACATCATAGAATATTAATGGAAATAGCTACAGAGATTGTGGATGCATTAGTAGTAATTTTCTAAGAATCCTTACATCCTGGAAAAGTCCCAGAGGATCAGAAAACTGTCAATGTAACACTATTATTCAAAAATGAATACAAAAACAGGTAACTATGTACTAATTAGCTTGACATTTATCATTGGGAAAATGTTAAAGCCAATTATAAAGTATGTAATGGCACAGTAATTTGAAATACATAGTTTTCATTATGCAGAGTCAGCATGGCTTCAGGAAGGGGAAATCATGCCTGACAAACTTATTACAGTCTTTTGAGGAGGTAGGAAGCAGGATAGATAAAGAGGAACCAGTAGATGTGGTATATTCGGATTTCTAAGGGAGTTCAATAAGATATCTCTTACATCCCACTGGATGTAAATCAAGCCCCGCTATTCCTTGAATCATACCAAATGTTACAGTACTTTTTTTAAAGGTACACACTGTGCCCCAATTTACCTGATGTTCAGACCAGGGTTGATAGAAAGTACAAACTGATTTCAGTCCTAAACAAGAATGATTGCTTACTATAAGTAATTAGGCAGATAACATTACTCCAATCCTCTTATCTCCCTCTCTTACTTACACACACACACACACACACACACACACACACACACACACACACAC